TGAGAAATTTGAGTGAATATTCTAATAATTCTTCATTTTATGGTTCTAATAAGTTAGGTGACTTGTCGTTAAGTCATAGAACAAATCCATGTCAACCTCCAGACAATCACCAAATGTACTCTACTCTTTTAAGTTACCAAAACTTACAACATGTTTGATCTAATCAAGTTTAAAAACTAAATATGAAAAAAATCATTTTTTGAGGTTTAATATTATATTTCAGATGACATTCTATAGGATCTATGACTTAAAAGCAATATTAATATACAACACAGCTAAAGTAAAGATTATACATAAGAGTGAAGACATTTGAGGTTTGACAAGTTTTGTCATATTCTTATATAACAGAAATTATTGAGAATGAAATGTGTTACCCTCTTCTTTTGCTACAAAAACAAAATACTCTCTTCCCCATTAAGGAGTATTTAGACAGGACTGTGTGTTTTGAGAATTCAGAAGCTCCCAAATTCTGACACTGAGTCAGTCTGTATGTTAATTTCCATCAAATGAGATTAAGCAAATCTTCATGAAGACGGAGGGTAGGAAAGAAATGAAGGCTTCTGTATTTAGACAGAGAGCACTTGGACTGATTCCACCCTAATGTAGGGCTTATAATACCAGCAAGAGAGCAGGACCTGAGGTTTTATTGGTTCCAACTGGATATGCTGAAGGGACAACGGAGACCTAACCATTAATTAGCTAAGCGCCATGCACTTCAGGGGTGCAAAGAAGGTCCTGGGAGCCAAATTGGGTATAAAAGGATTGGAATCATTTGGCAGATTAACCTATCTTTGAAAGGAGCATAGAGATGACACAACAGGCATTTCAGTAGCAGCCAAGATGAACTACAGAGCAGGGGTTGTTCCCTCATAATCCTGGCTCGAACTGCCCCGGGCTATTACTCTACAATCCTAATGGGAGGAAATAGGCAGCTCTAAAATGACTGACATGGATTTTTCAACCACAGGATGGTGAAGGTAGTTTAAATGTTTAATGTAACACATATCAATCCAGTTTGGTTTTTGCAACTGAGTATTCAGAAGAAAATTTATATCTGTAGTATACCACTATACATAGTATGTATAAATTTTAACATAGGTGAATATAAATAAAAACTTTGTTCTTTCCGCATGTTAGTTCTCTGTACTATTTTAGCTTCTCCTGCTGTTATCAGAATTGAGCATTCATTATTCATGTAAGATACAGAGGAAAATGAAAGTAAAGCGAAAGGGAAAATACTAGAATAATTTGATCATACATACTTAACCACAAAAAATAGTTATTCTCAAATATTGCTAAAATAGTTACATGAGGGAATAAATCTTATTCTACCCATTCCATTTGTATCTCATGACGTGCTAAGCATTAAAGACATTTCTGTTTTTCTCCCATTGTTTTCTTAGGTTTACTGCACCATAAAAAGGAAAAAAAGAAAACTGACTTACTGTTACCACATCCTTCCCATCCTGAATTCAAAGCCTTCTGATTTTCTGCTTTTTCTCTAAACTCACATTCCTGATGCTACATATAATCATAAGGAAATGCTGCGAATGTGAAAATGTTCATTTAAAGCTACGCCATACCAAGTTCAAAGAAGAAGCAAGCCTCATGCCAGTGACATTGACTGGATTGGAGAGCGCCACCTACACAAGGACAGCAGGCTGCTAACTCTTATAGTCAAATCTAGAGCCTTGTAGATTGAATAAAATCCTTTTTCTGTTCATCACAATTATTACATATATTTTAAAGAAACATCATACTCAATGCCTTTCTTTTTCTCTTCTACTTCAAAGCCCTCAGCGTTTCAGTTTGCCTTTCACAAATGCGTTGGTGAAAGAAAGTAAATATGAAACTCAAACTGGGTCTTGCTTGATTTCAAAAATATGAGACTTTTAGCTCTTTCTGCCTGACTTAATCTCTTTGCAATTATTTTTTTGTTTCAGCTTATTATTAAAAAATGCATTATTTGCCTAATTGCATATTGTTTATTTCCACACAAAAAATGCAATATTTAACATAATATTGGTGCAATAGTGAACTTAGCAGGTTTGGGTGCACAAACACTACATATTCCAACTGAGGGACTGACCCTTTACTGGCTCCTGGGAGGTAACCACTGAGCCTTGGAATATCCTGCCTGGTACCAGTGTATCTGATCCCTGATACCTTGGGCTATGCCAAATAGCTTATGCTAATGATGTGGTTTATGATGAAATCCATTTTATTTTAAACCTGGGGCTTAAGACCATGCAGTATCAGTTTGAACACTGCAGGTGTTAAAGATGGATTAACTGAAGTCTATGCCTTCTGGATGACCTGAATAAAAACCCTGGGCTTCAAGGCCTAAGCAAGCTTCCTGACCGGAAACACTTCAAACACGTTGTCACACATTGTTTCTGAGAGAATGCAGTGCTGTCCACACAACTCCATAAGACACCTGAAAGCTCATGCCTGGTGTCTCCTTGACTGTGACATTTGTGCCTTTCCTCTTGTTATTTTTAACTAGATTTTTTTACTGTAATAAACCCTAACCATGAGTAAAACAGCTTTTTTGACTCCTTCTAGTCAATCATCAAATACGAGGGTACTTTGGAGCCCCAGACACCATAGATAAAGCTATCAAACACTTTAAATATTCTTTAAGTTTCTAAACAATCTGTCATCTCTATAACATCTTCTCTTGGAAGGATATTGCCAACTCAATAATATTCTTTTGTTTTTCTTATAATAAAAATATGAATTATGGCTAGGAGTTAAGTAATTTCAATAACCTTCTGGTATATTATATTTAAACCCATTAATAAATTACGATAATCTAGTTTGGTAAACTTCATTTAGTTTGAGAAATTTATTTTCTTTTCCACCCTGCTGCTTTCTGCTTTGTTTCTTCATTTTTTCTCCCCCAGCTTTATCAAAGATTAATTGACAAAGTGTACAATGTGATGATGTACATGTTGTGAAATGATTACAATTAAATAATGAAATAATAAGGCTAATCAGCACATCCATCACCTCACATAGTTACCTTGTGTGTGTGTGTATATGTATGTGTGTCACAAGACCACTTAAGATCTAAACTCTTAGCAAATTTCAAGTATACATTACAGTACTATGAACTATAGTCACCATGCTGTACATTAGACCCCCAGAACACATTCATTTTATAACTGAAGACTTGTACCCTTTGACCAGTATCTCCCTATTTCCCCCAAACACCAGCTACTGGTAACTACCATTCCATACTCTGTTTATAAGAGTTCTACCTTTTCCTAATTCTTACTTTTTTAAATTCTTACTTGTGCAATTTCTGCGAGGATGAGTCAAGATTTTAAACTCATATGAGTCTGAAGTTAGCCTGAATAGCTTCTTCCTGGCAATTTATAAAATGGGTCCATGAGCAAATACTGTATTATTTGATACAATACAGCTTATAAATTTCCAGTTCCTGACTTTTCAAATGATTGGCATGGTGTCACACAGAGAAGTTGTGGCAAGGTCAGGTTTAAGAGTGGAATCTTATGATTATGGGTATGAAGCTCTTTGTGCTATAATAAACTATTATTGCTAAAGTTACAGCTGAAATCATAGACTAAAATAAAGTTTAATCACATTATGGAAATTTGATGATTTATCTGCAAGTAAAAGGGACTCTAACTCAAGCCATATTTAAAAATAGGCTGTAAGTGATCTCATATAATTAGACCTGGAGGTTGGCCAGACACCTGGGGGGTTCAATCAGTTAAACAATTGATCGAGGGCCAGGTTTTTTTCTGTCTCTCAGCTCTGCAACCTTCAGGGTCACTGATCATTAGGTAGCACCTCACACCCCTCCTTGGGGTCTGCAAATGTCAACAGCAGTTACATGTCTAAAATCCAGATGCTAGAAGGTCTAGAGGAGGTTACCACCTTTAACCTATACCCTGTATGCTGGTGAGGGAACCTTTTCTCAGTTAGAACACCACTTTTATCTCAGAGATCAGCATAGGGTCATGTACTCATTCCTACAAGAATCCCTGAAAGTAGAATGGGATTAGCATTCCTGACTTAAAAGACAAAGCCAAAGGGCAAGGACACATAAAGACTGGTTAGCTAACCAATGGACCATCCCTGTTTCTGGTCACAGCTGTCCAAACATTAGTTATACTTCTTCATTCAGGTGTCTGCCGTCCTTGTGGCAAAAGGATACTTTGTCACAGATTATCCTGTCATTGTAAAAACAATGTTGATACACTGATAGTCAAAATATATCCATGAGAACAGGTCTGTTTTTCAAAGCACTTTTTGTCTAATTTCAACTTGTGTAGCCCTTTTTTGAAAACTGGCTGTTGCTAAAGAATAAACTCTAAGCCTATACTGGTATGGCAGCATTAACCTGTGTTGTATGTCATTTATTTTCTGAAGCCAGTCAGTGAATCTACCATGAGTAGATGCTTTTTATGTCAGGTTTTCTGAAAAATGAGGCACCTGAGGGGATCCCATTGATTTGCCAACTGTGTCACAGTCCGTTTAAGGCAGAATGGCACATGCTTGTGACAAAGACAATGACAAATGGATATGTACTGAAGGGACAGCACCAACACAGATGAATGAAGAAAATGATGGAAGTATACAGCATGAGATGGAAATCAAAATAAGATGTAAGATTATATACTACATGTATATACAATACCTTGAGTTAGATAAAAGGTGTCTGTAAGACTAACAGCACTTTTCAGAATAATTTCTGTAATTTTACACAAATTCAATATTAACCAAAATTGTGAAATCAGAGTGAACCATTTGTTTTACAATATTTACATCAACCTATATATAGTGATGAAGGAAACATTTTTACTACTACATGAAAAAATAATTGAGTTTCTGTTTTCCTACCTTAATAAATGTGCATATGTATTTATATGTACCAATATGCCATACAGGCAAAGGTTAACTATGTTCGTAGGGGTTAATTTCTGCTAGCATGCAATAATATATATTAATAATATTCATGGATACTAATGAGATGCAAATCTTTGCAGGTAGAATTGTGCTCACAGGCATTCAGGATAAAGTCATCAATATCCTGTTCACATCTCAGGCCAGCATAGCCAGGATCGCATAAGCAGGAGAAACTGTCAACCACTAAAAACAGCAGAAAAGAGAAAACTTTTAACATTCCTTTAATCATGGTATATGCAATATTATTTACTCTAAAGAATGTTGTATTCATCCAAATGCATTTCACTTTTAACCAAAGTAAGTGTGAATTCTTATATATAATACACTATTACATAATTATTAATATTTTCTAAGTAACACTCTTGCTCAGTTCTATTTTACTTAAAAACTTCAGTTATTTAAAATAAAAACAATTACAGTAAACATCTGGAAACAATTTGCAAAGCAACAATGAAAATATCCAGTTTTCTTTCTTTCTCTCTTTCTCTCTCTCTCTCTCTCTCTCTCTCTCTCTCTCTCTCTTTCTCTCTTTGTTGATAAACAATACCTATGATAAATAGGTTATTTTTGTATCAGTTAGGTTTTCCCAGATCATTTTATGTTTAATAAATGAGAAGTTAACTGATTGTTAAAGCTCTTTGTGTGACAGGTACATTAAAGCGCATGGAGATCAGAAAGTTGATATTGAACTACTTAAGCCTTTGTTAAGAAGGGCTTTCAAATTTCATTATAATCTTTTAAAAGTAATGATCAGAGTATATCCTTTATTTTATCATTAATGATGGGAAAAAAACAGTCTCTGAAGCATCTCAAGGAGATGGTGACAGCATGAATTGCAGTCGGAGCAGGCGCAGGTTTATGGCTGCTGCTAGTCAGTCCCTGGGTTCTTCATTATCCCTGAGCCCTGCCATGTCACCTACGCTTTCACTCGGCCTCTGTGCATGTACCTGCTATTACCCTGATTAAATGCTTCGAGTGGCAGGACCATTTTCAGTGCCCTGTGAGGTAGTGAGGTATTTAGCTGGCTTCTGCAGTCATACTTCTAAACGGCATGTGTGAGCGGGGCCTCTAAGAACACGCCAGCCCACAGCCCTCAGGAAGAGACATGGAGACACAAGAGTTGGCAGCTCTTTAGACAGGACTTTACATCGGGTTTACTTTCTGTTTTTCATCTAGCATCCTAGTTTTCAAAGTCTTATTTGATAGAAATGATTAATTATATACAGGTATAGTTGTATATAAATTAATGAGTCAAGATGATACCAACTGGTACATCTTTATATGTTATAAATGGCATTATGTATGTTAAACTAAAACCAAATGTTATACAATATGTACCGGAAGACATTGTGGAATACCAAAAATCAGAATAATGTTTTTGAAAAAATTTTCATGATTATAATTCAAATTTGGATACTGGTGCAAATTGGCAAATGACAACTAGAGTCAAATTAAGTTTCAGCGTAGATGTAGACATTCTCTACATAGGTAAATAATACATTATTTTAAAAGAAATATAACTTGGAATTAACAAAGGGTCTCAGAGGTAGGGGTTGATGTTAAATAATGAAGCATGTTTTTATTATCAAGAAATATTTAAGATAATAAGGTAATTTCTGAATGTTGACTCTTTGGGGCTAAGAATCTAAGAAACAAACTATGTGCCAAATAAGAACCTAAGGAATTAATTTGAATATCATAAAGAAAATACATAAACAAATAAACTATTCTAACTTGTTTAAGATTTAAAACAAAAACAAACAAAAAAAATTGGGGTATTTTCCCACATCTTATTTGTGAACTATGAGCTATGTGATGACTACTCACCATTTTATCAGGAGATATTTTTAAGTGCATTGTCTTATTTTGTTATTATTTTTACCAGAAAATACAGTCACTATATTTGTATTACAAATATTCCATACTACTATTTTAAATTAAAATTTTCATCAGATAAGCCTTCTATAAATCTGGATGTATTATTCATTTTATACTTAAATATACATCAAACATCATACATTAGATATACTGAATCAAAGTTTTTAACATAAAACTTTGTGGTGAAAATGTAGAGGTATTTTAATAATGTATTGCCAATGTGGTGAATAACCACATAATGTCTAAGATTTACAAATTCACACATACTATTAATAATTGTTTCTTATATAAAGTAATGTAATAAATGCTATTACCTTGAATTCAGAAAATTTGACTTCCCAAACTATTTTATTTTAGACAGTATTAACAATACAGTGTCTTAGATTCATATTGATACCAGTTTACATGTACAATCTAATTTTTAATAGACATTTTGTTTCTCTGGTAGTTAATCTTCTTGGATGAGGTCCAAAATATATTATGAATAACTATATTATGAAATATCACTATATCAGGTATGCAAATTTTACATTTTACATAATATATATGTCCTCCCAAAATTTAATAGGGAGCATTGCACTTTAAGTAGCAGCATATTTGGAAATTGCATTTTCTTATCATATAAGGAATTATGCATTAAAGTATTTATGGAGACCTTATAAAAATCATATATATCATTTTGAATATATCACTCAGAAGACATCAGAAGTACTCATATGTAACCATTATGCTATGGCTGCCTAGATCTAAAAATGCTGCTAACCTCTCTCTGAGGCAGACTTCTCTGCCTCACTTATTTTATAGTGAGCACCAGAAATTTGAGATCCATTCCCAGCATTACCAAACACCTGTTGATTTAAGCTCAGAAATAAGATAATAGTGACTAATTTCAAGGTAATCTGAGAGTTAAACAGTTTAAAAAACCCAATTTTTAAGAGCTTAAATCTGAAAAAAAAAATGGTGGTTAAAATAAGGAGTAATGGACACGTGCCCCTCAGCCTAAAAATATGTTTTGCTTAGCTAGCACAGTATTAGAAAAAATAGTCCATATTGACATCTACGCAGATATTCCTGTTCGCTAAGGCCCTACCACTACCTGTTATTTTACATCTGGGCTGCTTCATCTAATCTAAAAAAAAATAAATCCATTATGCTCTTTAAGGGATGCATTCACAGAATATTAGTTTAAAGAAAAGGCTTTAGGGCTGGCCGAGTGGAGCGATGGTTAAGAACTGGCTTGGGACACAAGAGGGCCCCGGTTCGGATCCCACATATGACGGCAAGTGACACTGCCCTCTACAGCTAAGATGCTGAACAACAGCTCAACCTGGAGCTGGGCTGCCGTGGGTCGCTGGCGACAGGTAGGCTGCAGCCCCTGTGGCAGTGGGTTGCCATGGGTTACCGTATATAGCCATCAGCCAGCGTGAGTGGCCGTCCAGAGGCTGGCAACTGACCTGCCTCGCCTGGGAAGAGCGCAATGATGGTGCCAACTTGGGCCAGTGAAGCAACCTCCTCCACGACTAGACTGAAGAACAAAACGACAGCAACTTGTCTGTTCCCCTTCCCGCAATTGCCCAGCACTGTTCCCATCCCCCAATTCCCCAATAAAAATCTTTAAAAAAAAAAAGGCTTTATAATTTCAGTTAAATTATATGCTTTCCAAATAAAATGACTTTCTATCAAAATGTGCTTTTGCATATATTACATTATTTTAACCATTTATCCATTTACTGAGCGATCATGTAAAAATATATTTTAAAGGAGATAAAATAAAGCAAAATAAAATGGGCAGTTGTTTTTCACATTCATCTATGCCTCTCTGTTTTTTCTTCTTCATGGCTGTTAGCCATATCCAGTTCACAGGGCTATTTCATGTTCTGTTTTTTCTGTCACAACAAAAACCTATGTTCCAATATTCTGCTTTCTTTTTTTCCCTCTTCTTCCCCTTCCTTCGTTCTATTTCCCCTTCTTTTCTTCCTGCCTCCTTCTTTTTCTTTTATGAATTTACATTCTTTCAGGAATATATTTCAGTAATAAGAAGTGTGTGTGTGTGTGTGTGTGTGTGTGTGTGTAATAAATAGAAGGGCTGAAATAATGTTATTTAAAAAAATTATAAACAGTGCTTTATGATACCTATAAATACTTTTTAAAAAGTCTACCACTAAAAACAAAGAATATATATAATCACAGTGTGTGGAGTATAGCATAGGGAATAGAGTCAATGGAATTGTATATAAGATGTCACAGGGGTAGTATGTGGGGGAGGGTTTATCACTTTGTGAGGGGTGTAAATGTCTAACTAGTACATTGTTTTGTACACCTGAAACTAATAATAAAACAAAAGTAAAAAGAGAAAAAAAAAGACAAAAATGGTTAATTCTGATACCAGAACACAGAAGTCACATTTCATGAATTTGTTTTCATTTGCTACTGTTATAATTCACAAATAATATAAATGGATTTGTCCAAAGTGGGTTATTTTATGACCATAACTGGCATTGATGTTCATATTTAAGGCAGGGTAAAGTCAGGAAATAATTATAGCTGCATCCTGAGCTATTCCATCACTAAATCAGATTCTAAATTGGACTGCTCTACAAGAATTGCTCTGGCTGAATGAACTCACTGTCATAGCAATATCCGTTGAGGCAAGGGCTGGAGCTGCACTCATTGACATTTATCTCACAGTGTGGACCCGCAAAGCCTTTTCCACACTGGCACTGGTACCCAAGGGGAAATGTTTCCAGATACATGTTGTATCTACACACAGCTCCATTTTCACAAGATTCACTAGGCTCACAAGGCCCATATTCACAGTGAGGGCCTGAAAGGAAAGAATCAGAGTGTCAGTGCTCATATAATGAACAAATCCTGCAACTGCTGTCATTTACCAGGTGTATTTCTGCATAAATGCATTCAATTTTGTCTCTAGGCAAAGACTCATAATTTTCTTCCATATTATCATTGTGATTCTGTCTCTCTACATTATAATTTAAGAAGTAAATGTTATTTATGATTTCCATGCTTCATCTAACAAAATACCAGCAGGCAGCATTGGGAAGTAACAGTATTTTTAAAAATACCATTTTGTTTCTTCATAGTTTTTCAGTTCTCTTCAACAATGTTCTCTGAAAACATTGTAATTAAGAAAGTACATTATTAATGATGTGATTCTCCCTCTGTTTTCTTTCTGGTACCCTGGAGGTTGCTATCATTCTACGTTTAGCTTGATGGATTGGTTGCTAGTCTCAAAACAAGTAAACAATAAAAAAAATTAATAAGCCTTTAATCTTAAGAGCAACACC